ACACACACACACACACACACACACACACACACACACACACACACACACACACACACGCTGCCCAAAACATTATAGCTCACAGCTCTGGCAAAAATGGGGGAAGTGGCAGGGGTGTGGCAGTTTAGGATGGCAGACTATATGCTGTGGCTGACGAGCTGGAACACACCTCAGCTGTGGCTCATGAGGCAGACCTGCAACACAAGAAAAAGGAGAGAAAAAAACTCTTCCACAGAGGGAGAGCCACTAGAGGTCAGCGACCGTAACATCCAGTCAAGATGGCAAAGAGTTTGGAGCAAGTTTAGGGATGCATAATTTTAATTAGGATTTTGATTACTTTTATTTCTTAATCTATCTACACAAAAAAATAAAACAATTAAAGAAGAACACAGCCAATGTAATAAATAAATACAATAAATAAATAGAAATTTAAAAATTGCATTCCCCGTGTAACAATAGCATGTACTGAAATCCACTTTCTGAGTCACTGCCAGAGTCTGTCCCTGTTGCACGTTGGGGAAGTATGCTAATCTCAGTGCAAAAAGGGATTTGCAGATAAAGTCTAACACAACAACATAATCAGATCAACAAAAGAAGAAGCCACTGACCTCTTAAAGATTCAAGCCAGCGATGAAGCAGTGATGATCTGAATTTAAAACATATTTATGGAAAGGCAGCAGCATGTTAAATATGGAGAAAGTTGTATGGATGGTTGTCTTCCTTCTCCTACAACCTTCCCTTTTGATGCATTCCAAATGAGCATTAAAAGAACTAAAATACAATAACCTTTTGCTGCAACTTTGAGAACTGCTATGGTTAACAGACAGAAATACATAACACAAAAATACATATCATGACGATTGATACATGCAGTTACACATAGCAAGTGAACATATTTTTCTTTTGGACCTGTGTGATAATCTAGAGTAACCTCTAATCAGATCTCAGGGATTTAAGTGTGGATCACACTGTTAAACTGCCAGCTAACAAGTGAGACATCAGCAAAAAGGGAATTCCAAGTTACATCAGTGATCTTGGGCAGATGATGCATTTAATACCACCTCATTGTGATTGAAAACACGATTAAACACTGCTTATCAATGCCACTTTTCCTGCAATACAAATGAAAAGCAACTGGACTTGTGTCTGCTTGTATATGCTGGAAAGGATTCAAGATACAATACAAAAATATTTTTATTTTTCTGAAAAGCTTTTTAATCAAAATTCACATTTTTATTATTTCAAGAAGAAGAATAAGAAATGATTCAGGGTAGAAAAAAAAATCCTATAAAAACAGTAGTATTCCGGCAGCTGGGGCGCCAAAATAATACCAGAAAATAACTTTCACATGAAAATACGGTTATTTTCAGTAATGCCAATACAGTTTGTTGCCCTAATTTTACATGGGATTTTGCCTTTTTCAAGTGCTTTTAAACATTAAATTAGGAACATTTTAACGTGATTAAACAATGAAATTACCTGTAAACAAGGTCAATGAATGCGGCAATATGAATAATAATACTTAAATGTACAGAAATATACAGTTAACAGTTGGTTTAAATAATAATGGATTGCATTCATATAGCGCTTTTTGAGACCCTCAAAGCGCTTTATAATTCCACTTTATAATTCCCCTCTGGCCATCACCAGTAGGTGGTAGGTGAAGTGTCTTGCCCAAGGACACAACGACCGAGAGTCTTGAGCCACGATCGCCCTAAATAGCAATAATTATTATTATTATTTGATGTAAAAAGGTTTATAAGAATCATGTTATATACTTTTCCATAGCATTACATTTGAATTTAACAGTTCAATCTTTCAAATAACGGACAAATATTTGTGAAATTATGATACATTTGTGAATGTATTTTAACAATCTAAATATGCATATGTACAGACAAATACATTTAAAAAACAAGAAAAATATGTTTTATTAGATTTACAGTGATTTTACCTTTAATTCACATTTGAAATGTAAAATCACAGTCTATTTATGTAAATTTAATGATATTTTTATTACAATTTTTTTATAGTGTACACTTTAAAAAACTCCAGAAAGTCAATAGTTGCTGCTCATGCGTTGCAGTTAAAAACTGACTGACAATGTGTAATATCATCTAACAGGGCCCTAAAATGACAATTTAAGTGAGAAGTCACTTCACGCTGAGGTTTCAGACATACTTCTCAGTAGCTATAGTCAAAGAAAATATACAAAATGTTTGTGAAAGGATCAGGACCCACACCAGCGTTTGAGTGTCAGTCGTAGCACTTTTAATTTGAAACAGCACTATCCACTGGTTCTGCACCTTATGTTCAACTGGGAAACAGGTTTTCCCACACAACACACTCCTCCTTCCCGACTCCAAACACTAAAAAGGGGCAGAGTTCATTTGTTGTCTCCATCTCACCTGTCCCCTACGACCTCTCAGGACCATCCCATGAGCTTATCATACCACCCCTCCATTGCAGTAGAGCCAGAGACCACAACCCTGTCACAATATTTTACAATCTTAGAAGTACTAAAAACAGAGAAAGAAAAAACTCAAAATAAAAGGAGAATTACTTAAAAACATATAATAAGACAGAGAATAAGAGATACAGAATATTACAAATAATCCCTAGCAACTATGTAAGTAGTTCTTGCTTTGTATTGCTTATGTTTTAATAGAATTATTAAGCATCAAACAAATAATTTTAAGCTATTCTTAAAATGATGCAACATACTAATGGCAAACTTGGACACATTTAGGGATGTTTTCACTCTATAGGATTTGGCTCTCTAGCCTGTGGTGCTAATGCAATCTATAAGATGACCTAAAGCGTCTTAGTTGCTTAGCTTCTTTTTTCTAAATAGAAAAGAAGCACTGGTTAAGGATTGCCACGTGAACATGACCCAGTCAGCAGTTACATGAACACGTAAGTCAGCTTTAGAGTCAGCCGAAGCTATATGTCTGTATAGGAGCTTTAGAACAAACCTTTGGTGATTCCTCTCGCATGAAAAGTGCAATCGTGAACTGCAGCTGAGACTGCTGCTGGAAATGATTTGGCTATTTGGTTAATAATTGAAACAGTAAAAAGGAAAATAATATATCTTGAAGGATCTCCTTTGGGTCGTTGTTTTGCTATTGTCTGCAAATTAATGTGACAAAACCTAAACTGCTCAGCAAATCTGCAAAAGAATTTATGTAACAAAGCAGCACATCTATCTATTTCTTTATAGTTTGAAAAAGACTACAGAGATAAATAAGTGTAAATTTGAAGTTATTCATTTGAAAATCACTCAACAACGACATTTGAAAGGTTGAAAATTGGTTGTTTTTCGGAAAACAATTTGAGCCCGGAGTCCAAAAATAAGGGCAGAAGCACCAGCAATGTTGGTCATGATTTTTAACAACACACTGTGTTTGGGAAGTACAGATGACCAAAGTTCAAGCTTCAAACTTCCCATTGTGGCTAATATTGCATTTCAGCTTGTTGCATTGTTTTTGCCTCATTGAACCAAATTGTGCAAGCTTTTGACTTTCTTTTTTCATTTCTTTATTTATAAATTAATACATTTGAAAAAAAGACAAGATGTGTCCTTTGTCCCTTGCTATTTAACTCCCATCTATTGCTATTACACTAATATTCGCTGATTTATTTTTGTTCTTTTTACAGACACCAGTGTACTGTATGCCAATCTGAATGCACACACCTTTGATGTTAATGTTGGAATATCACTGGTGTTGCTCTTCTGAGTTTGGCCTAGGCCCACAATTAGCTACAAACCTAATTAACTCAGCAAGAGGAAACCCTAGCAACGTATTACCACAGTAATCCCAAGGCCACTAATCACCTGCCCCATAAAGAAAGTAGAGCTCTGTGATTCTAGCGGGTTATAAAAAAAACACCTAAGAGTGTCAGACGTCCATTTTAAATCTGTCCAACTCGTCGTGGAAGCTGTACAGAAAGGTTTCAGGACTATGGACTGAATTACATGACAGACATGGGGCAGACGCAGCAAACAGAGAGCACTGAGCAGATAGACATTAAAATCATCCAGGATATGTACAAAAAGTTTATTTTGGAATGCCCGAGTGGATTACTTTTTCTGCATGAGTTTAAGCGTTTCTTTGGTGTGGAAGCTACAGGAGAAGCTTCTGATTATGCAGAGAACATGTTTCGAGCGTTTGATAAAAATGGGGTGAGAGAATGAAACCTGCTACAGCCTGGCTTACAGTCATATCATGAAATGTGATAAAGTAACCAAAATGTTCTCATCTAACCTCTCTTTTAGGACAATACAATTGATTTCCTTGAGTTTGTGGCGGCACTAAATCTTGTTTTCCGGGGAGACCTGGAGCATAAACTGCGCTGGTCATTCAAGGTGTACGACAAAGATGGAAATGGATACGTGGACAGGAATGAACTACGGTCAATAATCGATGTAAGTCCTAAATGTGAACCAAAGGAAAAATATTTTCTTTTTATAAAATAGAAATTTTATGTTCAGAATGATGCATCTCAGTGTATTTATTTTTTACATTTTGTCTATGATAGCGTTTACATATACTTAACAAGCTGTGGTCTTTGATATGTACTTCCCTAGCAAAGTTCCTAATATTTGCTTTTACTGTCAAGTGCTTTAGAGAGTATGCAAATGCTTTAAAAGCACTGTATCCTTGGGATTTCACTGTATTTCCTAACAGAGTAAGTGCTGAGAATATAAGTACAAAAAAAGACAACAAACCTTTTTTTTAACCAAACGTGACTCTACCAAATATACATTTCAAATTACTTATGGTAGTCTGTAACTCTAAATACGTGATAATTAAACTGTGTTATATGTTTAGCCTGATAAATCTCATATACTGTATTTTTGTATTTCAGAAGCTAGGGACAATGGAAAGAGAGAAAAAGAAAATTTTTAAGATATTTTTTTTAAGAATGAATTTTAACTATTGGACATTTCTATTTCTGATGAAGAATGTAATGGCTTCTGGTGATGCTGTTATTTATGTGATGCCCATAATATTTCCAGTTAATAAATGAATTTCTTTGTCTCTTATTCTGCTCATTTCCAAATCTTCCGTTCAATATTGTATTGATTTCTGCTATCATTATTATTATTGCCATAATTATTGTTTTATTTACATAACGATGTGTACTAAAATTCCTAAGACCTAACTATATATTTTCTTATTTTATAAAAATCATTGCTTTTATCCAGAGCATCTATCGGGTTAAGAAAATCTCCAAGGACAACACAAGTGATTCCTATCTTACTGTCGATGAGGTTGTTGATCGAATATTAGCAGCTGTTGATACTGATGGGGATGGTGAGCATTTTTTAATAATGATAATTAATTTGCAGTGAATGCAAATGTAGATAGGACAAGAGTGGAAATGGTGAAAAGGTGAGAAAATGAGTTGGGTTTTGCTGTTTTTTGTGTTTTACAGGTACTGTGAGCATGGAAGAATTCATTAGAGGTGCACAGCAGGACCCCTGGCTGCTTAATATTTTAAAGCTGGACATGAACCCTGCCAGATGGGTGATGGACCAAAGGAGAAAGAGTGCACATTTCTGAACTGTCCAAGAAGCTTTTCCCAGAGAGAACAATCTTGACTATTATCAAGGGACCTTGTTTATGAAATGGAATTAGATTCTCTTTTGGTCTTACTGTAAGGTAGAAAATATCTTTTCTCTAAGCAATCTCTATACTTGACATACAAGAGCTCTCCTGGATGGTTATGGGATTGCAGAATGGGATCTAGAGTCATAGTTCTGTATTTCTGCCCCACCTCAAAGCTGCATGTTTAGCTCTGTTTGTCCACCTTTTTTCTATACCATGTGGCCTAACTTTAACTCCCTCAGCCATCATCTTCCCTCAACTTCATTGGTGCTGTCATTATAATATGCTCTTTTTGTTCTTCATACACTGTATACATTATTTGAAATGATTTGAAACAGCTTTAATAACTCATACATACACACACATACATATATATATAGAGAGAGAGAGAGCGAGAGAGACAAGTACAGCCTTCTTTTTATAAAGTTTATGCTGTAAATAATGATGTAATTATTGAATCATTTGAAAAAAATTTTTTTATTTTTGATAACTACATGATTATTGTGCATATCAATGAAATTGCAGTACAGAAATATTTTCTTTTCTTTAAGAAAAACAAAAACATAAGATAAATAAGTCATGCTGCCATGCTGTATATATCCAACATGTATAAACCTGTTCTGTGTGCAGAGATCCACTAGTTTATGTTGTAAAGATCAATGGTGCCATCTAAAGGTGAACTGCAGTCCTCTCATTACAAGTTGGGATTTAAAGTGGATACAAAAAAAAATAAAAGAGAGAGAGAGAGAGAGAGAGAGAGAGAGAGAGAGAGACAAGTACAGCCTTCTTTTTATAAAGTTTATGCTGTAAATAATGATGTAATTATTGAATCATTTGAAAAAATATATATTTTTATTTTTGATAACTACATGATTATTGTGCATATCAATGAAAGTGTAGTACAGAAATATTTTATTTTCTTTAAGAAAAACAAAAACATAAGATAAATAAGTCATGCTGTATATATCCAACATGTATAAACCTGTTCTGTGTGCAGAGATCCACTAGTTTATGTTGTGAAGATCAATGGTGCCATCTAAAGGTGAACTGCAGTCCTCTTACCAAGTCTCATTACAAGTTGGGATTTAAAGTGGATAAAAAATAAATAAAAGAGAGAGAGAGAGAGAGAGAGAGAGAGAGAGAGAGAGAGAGAGAGAGAAAGCAAAAAATACAACCTGTGATTTGTGTGATTTTTTTTTTAAATCAAGTATCCTAAAGTGTTGTCTTTGATTGGCACTCTTTATTGAGACAGAACAAATGAACAAATTGCAAAGTAGTTGTCATGAACTGGTCAAAATGAGAGCGTTGGACCCAAAAGCAGACTCAATGGACTAGAAGAACTATTTACAGGTTTTATGAACAAAAACAGAAATTCAAGACTTAGAACATGACCCAACCTATAACATTCACAAACGGCCGAGAAACGAGGAAGGTAACGAGGCCAAAGAATGCTACACGAGAGGAACACAGTCTGTTGAATCCTGGTCGCTGTGTCCGTGAGAGTATCCTGGGAAATGAACCGGGGGGGGAGAGTTGTCCAGTTCCAAGAGAGTCACGATGGGCAGAAGGGCAGATGGGAGAATAAGATGAGTATGGAATCCTTGGTGGAGGTCTTAGTGTGTTAGCAGAGGCATTATGACTAGCGCCATGGAGTAACGCAACAGGAGGTGGATCTGCTTGTGGCTTTTTTGGGCTGTTGTCACAAAACATTCTGTTTTAAATTTTACACATGATAATGGAAAAACTAATTTAGTATGTGAATTGACCTGATCTTGTCATGAACCGGCTGTGTGGAGGCAGATGAGGACCCAAACGCAAAACTCACGGAGGCAGGAACTGAACTCAAAATCACTGCTTTATTGCAGGTTTCACAAAGGAACAGAACTAAACTGGGAATACTAACAGAAGACCGTGGGAACACAGAAAGACACACAGGTTCGGGGAGAAGACATTGACGACGCGACACTGACCTGATGGAGACATGCACATAAATACACAGAGGGTTAACGAGGGAAGTGGGAGCACACGGGGAACACAGCTGACACAGATAATCATAACGAGACAGGGCAGGAGTGAACACAACATGACACATACTGACGAGAGACTGTCAAAGTAAAACAGGAAGTACACAGAGGTTCAGACAGGAGGAGAGAGAGCACGGGGAGAACACAGACATAACAGGCTGGGGAAAACATGGAATAAAACACAAGGAGAGACGAGGGCTCACAGATACACAGGGGCACACAGGAGGTAACCAAATAAGGAACATCTTAACTAAATAACCTAGGAACCAAGGCATAAATAGGGAACAAAATACAAAAACTAAGAATACTGGGCCAACATGGCCCAGGACCATGACAGATCTTGTAGATACCAAATCAATCCATTGCTTCAATCTTTTCTATAAAACTGCAAAACTGAGAAGACACTCATTCTAGAGTCTGCACTCTTACGCATTATTCTCACACAAACTATGAATTTAATGCAATTCTTAACCTTAACTGATTGTCAAAGACATATATCAGGCATGTAAGACTTTAACCTTGAACACAATCTTACATCATTGTCTTTTGTCCTCTCTATCTGCTAACTCTTGCTATCTTTGGGAATGAAACAATATTATATTTTCATTTCCATCCATTATCTTCTGCTCTTTGCTCTTTTTCTGCTTCTGTAGTGCTAGTTACATGCTAAAGATAGTAAAACACAAACTGCATCCAGGACACAAACAAATGTATAACACTGCTAACACAACTTCGACTCTTGACAAGCACCTGCACAGACCGAATGCACGAAGTTACACTAACACAATGTAAGCCAAGAGCCCAGAAGGATGTTAAAACTGTGTGAATGCCTAAACCAGCTGAGCAGTCAGACCCTGAACTATAGACCAGGTCACAAATGTACGTTTCTAGAGTACTCTGTGGGAATCACTTTATAGCACTTTAGCCTGGTTTTATCCTTGCTTTGTGTTGTCATTTTTGTGTTTATACATAAAAATTAAAATAAAGATTGTGTCCTCATTAGGAGAGGCATTTGTATTAATGTGTGGGACTGAAGCATAAGGGTTAAGCTAACAGTTTGTGTATTTGCTGATGTTTGTTGAGCTGACAGAAATGTTGCATTTGAATTTACTTACCACCCTTTATGCTAGCTCCTCTTCAGTAAGGCTAGCTGGATGCTGAAGTGCTGCAACCGCAACTTACTGTTCCCACCTCTGTAAAGAACCTAATTTAACCCTTTAAAGCCGGTCAGAGCAGGCATGCTCCATTTTGCATAACTATTTTTAAATCCCGGTAGAACTGGAATCACGTAAGCTAGCGCAATAATTTTTTTTGCATATGAAACCTAAGGAGTTGTACTTACATCTTATGCCATCAGCTTGTCCTCGGTCACGGTTTCCTTCCACATATAGCTTTGCAAAAAGTGCATAAAAAGCACTTGCAGCAACAAAAATATAATATTCCAGACACAGGCTTTGCCGATCCGATCAGCTGTTCATAACACTTCCTACGTTGGAATAGATGTCAGCGCGAACTATCGCATGTCCGCCATTACCTGTCCGAAACTGGAAGTGACATCATTTTCACGGAAATGTAGGTTTTTTTTTCAACTTCAGGGCCTCATAAGCCTATATTGGTGTTTTTAAAAGTTATCTTTGACTTTATAACTTTCTGTATCATTTCTGGGATGCTTAGAACTCAAATTACACTGCTGGAAATTGTTTATTTTGATGCATATGCTGGTTTTTTTGCAAATTTGCATTATAATATTTATTTTCGTTTTTCCTGCAGTATATAAAAATTGGTGTATTTCAAAAATAAAACTATAAAGATACTCAAAATAAAGATCCTGTGGTGGGAAACTATTTTGTGCAACATTTTTGCATTTACAGTTTTAAGGGATAAGCCTCTTAAATTTCTCTAACTAGAAATATATGTTAAAAAACAAAAACTATTTTCAATTTTTTTGTAATTTATTGCATTTTTTGCAATTTATGTAGTTACTATGCACTTAATGCAAACATATTATTAAAATTTAGGTTATAATGGTTGTATTGATGTATAGTAACTTGAAATGCTCCCAAAAATGGCACTATAGCATTTAAAAATATAATATAAGATCTGGCAGACTTGGTTCTATGGTAGGTCTTAAAGGGTTAATCAACTCAGCTAAGGTGATTGCATACTATTATCAGTTAACTTCCCTTTTTCTGCTGTGTGAGATATAGGCCTGTATAATGAGCAATAAGCCCTCTCTGTTTAGCAGCCTTCCTAAAATCCTCATATGACCTTAAAACACACAATGTTTCAATGTGCTCTGTATTCAAAAGCTACCTCCTTTACACACTATGAGCTCTGTTACTATAGTTAAGTGCAACAGACCTGTAACTTTCACTGTCTTTGGATTGTGCATCATAGATGCTGTCAGCTGAAACAAAAATCCTGTTTAAAAATATGTACCGGTATATGATGCCACTGGTTAGTGTTGTACATATAGGGAAGAAATCTCAAATGTGTTATAAATGCATAAGGTATGATCCACAAGCATAATTGCACACGCACTGCACAGTGTGGGGTGGTTGGTGGTTCAATTCCTGGCTGTGTTGTATAGAGCGCTTTGAGTACTTTAGGAGAGTAGAAAACGCTATACAAGAAAGAATCAGTCCATTTACGGTAAGGTTTTGTAAGTGAGTGAGAGGGATATTAATCATCAGTGACCTGTTTGCCTCAGAATCAGGAAGTGTGCAGGAACAGTCAGAGCTGTTCACTTCCTGATATAAACGCTCAAGAAGTAAACCGTCCTTCAATTGCATGAGAAGAATTCCACAGTCAAATGGCTGGTAGGTAACTTAAATTCTACTTCTAGTGCTAATATTGTTTAGGTCTGTGACAGTTGTTAAATGAGACATTTTTCAAGGTGTTGTCCCATAATGTATTCTAGAGAAAGCTGAGATTGTGTGGCTGTGAAAACAGATGTGAAGACAATTTTAAGGGAACTTCCCTAGCATCAGAGAATTTTCATGTTCCAAAAACACTTTTACTGTTGTCATTGTGTTAGAAAGAAAAAAAGAAGCTGTCTTGCCAAAATACATGTATGGTAGTGCTATATGATACTTTACAATACCCTATAAAGGCAGCTTATGTAGGAGAGAACATTGTGTCATGATTTATGAGATGGAACATCATTAATTTGCAAATTCTGCAAAAATTTGTATGACCACTAAATCACAATAATTAGTTAATACAATACAAACTCAGCTTTCATATTTTAATGTATGATGAATATTTGGATCAATCAGCCTACCTCTAGTGCAGTGGTTCCCAAAGTTTTTTTGCTAGGCCCCCCTTTGTTT